GATGTTTATTTTCATTCCGCTGTTTAATTATCGCACTCTGAACTCTGGTATTGTAATAAATAATTTCCAAGAATTCTTGTTGTATGAAATGGACTAAGTATTGTAAGCTCGTACTCATTATTGGATTCTGGATGTAAAACGTGAATTGTTTCGAGTTCTCCCGTGGGGTTTGCTTGACGGAACTGTTCAGTGTAGCTAACTTTTAGGGTGCTTAGTGTCTAGTGGAAGACGAGCGCATCTGAAAGCGTGTTATTTCGGGCGGTTCTGCCACACAACATACCTCTAAAATGTTTGAAATACTTGAAACATGCATTTGCAACATAGAGGAGGGGAGGCCTAGGCCGGTCGATTCTAGCCGTCGGGCGGCGAGCGGCGGCGCACACAACCACCACCAGCATTTAACCACGCTCGTGGGTGCCCTAGGCTCGGCAAGGGATGACCCAAGGCGCCCCAACACGTGCGCCCAGCGACCATCAGTCAGGGGCGGCGGCAGCGAGGCATCTCGACAGCGTTGGGGGTTGGGGAAGAGGCTAAGGAGGCACACTGCTATCAGCGGATGCGAGATAGAAAGTGAGAGATGGGTAGATCAGAGGCAGCGCACGCGGGATGGGTCGCGGCGAGGGATGGCCACGGCGGGCGGGCCATGCGACGCACGACACTTAGGTCGAATCTGCGCAGACTGGGCGCGCGATGGGCGAGGCGAGCGACGGGAGGGAGCAACAGTCACGAATGAGGAGCGCGTCGCAGGTGGGAGTGAGCAGCACGGGCAGAAGCAGCGAGGCGAAGTGTGCCGCGTGGCGTCGAGACGGACAAACACCCACGTGGAAGCATTATCATATTAAAAAATACAAGGACCTTTGCAAAAAAATAGAGTTAAATGCACAAGAGACCCTCGAACTTGTAAGTGTGTGTCATATAGGTCCATGAACTTTGAAAATGCATTTCTGGATCTCTAAACTTGTTAAGTGGTGTAGCGCAGGTCCATACTAGCCATTTGGACATTTTTTTTGGCGACGTGGCGTGCTAACATGGCATATATTTTACATTTAACACCTCGCATTAATTTTTCAAATAAAAAATAAAACCTTCCTTCTCTATCATCTCCCATGGCTGGCTCGGCTCGCGCGTCTCGCTGGCTCCATCGCCGTCGTCCGGACACGACAAGAAGGACGTATTGCTGATGGAGGCGGAACAGGGGCTGAACGACCACAAGGTGATCGTGTGCACCATCGAGGGGACGCCGCCAATCCTGCCATTCTCCTGGCGCGCTTTCATATATTCCAGCGGCAACGTGTGCCACGTCTTGAGATCGGGTACATAAACAACTAAGGCAGCCTCTTCGGCTTCGACTGGCCTGCCTGGACCTGCGAGCGGCATTTCTCGACATTAGCCGACGAGGCACTCGCGTGGGCCATCAGCGCCATTTGAACACCTTGGTGGGTGGCCAGCACCAAAGAAGCAAGTTGCCGCTGCAACGCGATGCCGCCGCCGCTTCTTCCATCATCCCATCCTCCTCCTCCCCTAGCTGCGGCGGTGGCTCTCTCCTCCTCGGCTCATCTCATCCTCCACCGGCGACCTCTCCGAGGAGGAGCACATCAAGGTCAACCACGCCACCTGCACTGTATAAAAGTACGACAACGCCACCAGCACGAACGAGAGCGCGCGTCCACGGCCTGCACGTGGTGTGCCCTCGACCACTCTGCATCGATGCCGACGCCGACATAAAAGCCACCGCGTCCTCCGGACACCACGTCTTCAGGCCCCGTTCGGCTTACCCTATATTTGGCTTGTTCGACTTCTTTTTCCAGCCGAAACCGTGTTTTTCTCTCACAACAATTCAGTCAAAACAGTGTTTTACAGCCAGTTTCTGATGAGGACATCGCCACGCTGGACACACCGACGTCATGGTCTTCCCCAAGTTGCAATTCGTTCCCAACTCAGCTACCACGTCACCCTCGGATTCAGCAGACACGTCACACTGCTTCGGTCCATAACTTCCTCATACGACGCCGAAACGGGCCGTTCTTGGATGCGTTGGAAAGGGACGACGACGCCGTCGTTTTGGATCTGGTCCCAGCTCCAGAAGGTCCGTGGATCATTCTGTGTGACCACGGCAAGGTGCTGCGTCACCTATTTGGGCCAACTTGGCCATGTATCGTGTCGGGCCTTAAGCCCAAGTTGTGGGCGCCCAACCCCTGGCCGTCCCCAACCCTAGGTCAAGTCTTAGACTATAAACACAGCCGCCGCCGCTGCTACACAATTGGGTTTTGTTTAGAGTTTAGTTTTCCATCGAGAAACCGAATCGCTCATTGTAACTGGTGACAAATCCTTTTACAAAGTGATCCAGGGGCCCCGTTCTTGATCTCCTCCATCGTGGTCGATTAGTCCTTTGGAACCGAAGTTCTTGAACCTTCTATTGATATTCGCGTCATTCATATTTGCAATATCGATTAAGTGTTTTACCTTCTTGCTTGTGCTCTTCGATTCGCTGCGGAAAAAGCCTTCTTGGCGAGGTCAATCAAGTTGTGCTTGGTTGATAACCAACGGAGCAATGGTGTAACGCTGCAGGGGTCGAATCGCGTCGATTTGAAGCCGGATCGCCAACGCCGAGATCTCCACATATCGAACTTACCGGCTACCTCTCGGAAGATCGGGCCTGTACTCATCAATTGGTACGTGTTCTCACTATCATTGATGGCGGGAGTTGCAACAACTTGGTGAGTTCAGATTTGGTTGACAAGCTTGGCTTGACCACACGACAACATTCGTATCCATATAAACTTCAATGGTTCAATAATAGTGGTAAGACTAAGATAACTAAATCAAAGCACGCATTAGCTTTTTCACGCTCTTATCATGATATCTGCTGATTTTGATGTTGTCCCTATGCAAGCTTGTTCCATTTTGTTAGGTCGACCATGGAATTTGATAATGATGCTTTACACCATGGTAGAACTAATACATACACTATCATACATAAGGACAAGAAAATTACATTGTTGTCTTTGTCTCCTACGGATATTATTAAACATGCTAATGAGATCAAAATAAACCTCCAAATGTACATTGCTAAAAATAATGGGATTAAGTTAAAAGGAGGTGCTTTTCTTGCTACAACTCCTGCTCTTCTTTTGAGTTATGTCATAACTCTGATGCACCATGTTATACTATGTTTTGTCAACCTTTTATGTCCGGTGCATTGCTGCTCACTAATCTTTTGCAGGAGTTCGGCGATGATGGGATGGAGTCGAGGACGACTCCAATTCTACAAGGAGGGATGATGAGGACATCGCCAAGATGGAGTCGAGGGCGACTCCAATTCGAAGGGGAGGATGATGAGGACATCGCCACGCTGGACACACCGACGTCATGGTCTTCCCCAAGTTGCAATTCGTTCCCAACTCAGCTACCACGTCACCCTCGGATTCAGCAGACACGTCGTCACCTGCTTTGGGTCATAACTTCCTCATACGACGTCCGAAACGGGCCGTTCTTGGATGCGTTGAAAGGGGGACGACGACGCCGTTTTGGATCTGGTCCCAGCTTGGGAAGGTCCGTGGATCATTCTGTGTGACCACGGCAAGGTGCTGCGTCACCTATTTGGGCCAACTTGGCCATGTATCGTGTCGGGCCTTAAGCCCAAGTTGTGGGCGTTAAGCCGTCCCCAACCCTAGGTCAAGTCTTAGACTATAAACACAGCCGCCGCCGCTACACACAATTGGGTTTTGTTTATTTAGTTTTCCATCGAGAAAAATAGAAATGTGATCCAGGCCCCCGCTTCTTGATTAAATTAGTCCTTTGGAAAATTCTTGAACCTTCTATTGATATTCGCCATATTTGCAATATCAGATTAAGTGTTTTACCTTCTTGCTTGTGCTCTTCGATTCGCTTGCGGAAAAGCCTTCTTGGCGAGGTCAATCAAGTTGTGCTTGGTTGATAACCATGAGCAAAGGTGTAACGGTTGCCATGGATTTGAAGCCGGATCCAAACGCCGAGATCTCCACATATCGAACTTACCGGCTACCTCTCGGAAGAAGAGCCTGTACTGTACTCATGGTTTAAAATTCGCCAAATTTAACGGAACCTATGTAGAGCTCACACACATGGACTACAAGGAGAAAATCTGAAGACGACGGCTTAGCGTGGTGATCAAAGCACGTCATGGCTGGAAAAGCGTATGCATTTTTAAATTCTATTTTATGAGAAAAATAGATGTGATGGGTTAAATAAAAAATATATGCCATGTTAGCACGCCACGTCAGCAAATAAATGTGCACATGGTTGCCATGGACCTGTTGTGCACCTCTTAACAAGTTTAGGGACAAAAAAATACATTTTCAAAATTCATGGACCTATGTGACACGCTATATATATATATATATATATATATATATATATATATATATATATATATATATATATATATATATATATATATATATATATATATATATATATATATATAAGAGGAAGTTCATTCTTTCGAGAGAAATCGTGCGCCACGACATCACCGGTTGTGACTTCCATAATATCCAACAGAAGTCTTTGTAAAAAATATAAATATATCCAACAGAACACGCGCAAGAGCACATTTATTTGAAATTTACACTAGCAAGCATATTATCTATTTGATTTGAAGCCAAACAACTGGAACTGACAGCAGGTTACAGCTTAACTGGCACAGCAAAAGGATGACCCGCGAGTGGTTGTTGATACATGTACATGTGTGCAACCACTAGAAATTGACACGAACAGAACATCTATATATCTGTATCTCAATGTAGCACATACATATATATACGATTGGATTGGATCATTGGAATCATCATCTTGCAGTTGCAGCCCCGGGCGAAGGAGATTCCACTTTGCTGCGAGCAAAACCAACAGGAAAACTGCAAGTCTGCAACCTAGTCAGACGGAAGAATCTGAAACTCTGATGGAGCAACAGGTTGAGGTGAGAACAAGGTTGGTGGCCTTGCACTGCAGCGACGCCTGACTTTCTACGACGCGGGCGCTCGCACCGGGAGGAGAAAGAGCAGCGTGAGAAGCAGCGCCAGGGCGAGGCAGGCTATGCCGCCGGCCAGGTATGCGCGGCCGAGGAAGCTGCTCCTGCCGCCCAGCACGCCGGCGGTGGACAGCACCAGCGCCTTCTTCCCGCCGAAGCTGTACGTGTTGTAGTTGTTCTGAACCATCACCGCGATCTGGTCGCCGGCGTAGAGGTCCACCTCGATCCTCCCGTACAGCTTCCGGAACGCCGGCAGCGCCGCCGTTCGCATCCACACCATCAGATCCTCCTGCTCACTCAGCTGTCGCAAATTTGCATATATTGCAATGCCCAAGGTAAAGCAAAACCCAAACCGAAGAAATCTCATAAAGCATTTGGTACGTATCACCGATCTTTCCAGGAAATTAAAAAAGTGCGTACGGATTTGTTCGGATCAAGCGTCCCGCCGCCAACCAGAGCGCCGATCTGGAAGTTCCTTGGGTACACACGGTTGCCGAACAGGTGGCCTCTGTCACTCCTCCACGAGATGCCCTGCCTGTTCACCGCCAGCGTCTCGTTTCCACGGGCGAAGCAGTAGGTGTCGTTGAACAGGCTCCATGCGACGAGCCCGCAGGGGACGATGGGGCCTCCTCCGTTCGCGGTGGCTTCAGGGCTGCAGGTCTTTGTGTCCTTGGCCATCTTCGGGGACCCCAGCTGGCTGATGCTACGGCTCCTTGCATACCTGTGAAGTGAACAGCCGTAGTTTAGCTTCCATATATGGAAGTTCGTCAGCAGAAGTGACTTTATTTACCTCCTATGGTTCTGGTAGAATTTGTCGAGTTTATAATATACGTAAATTGGCGCCTTCATGTGCGCATGAACCTGCAAAGAGAAGAACATATATAGCCAAATCTTATGGAAACTTTCACCGCCAACTGAAAACAGGACAAGACATTCGTAAACAACTGTTTTACTACCTTGAGCAACCTTGGGCAGGACTTGTCCGTTGAAGGATTCTGGATATAAGCAACTTTGTTGTCACGCATATTCTCCGGTATGCATGCGGTTTCATATTGATCCACCACTTCAACAACCTGTATATTTCATATCAGAAATGAAGTCACTCCAAACTTCGATTTTTGGAACTGGATCTCTGCTACAGATTTATGTAACTCACATCACAGCGCAAACATACCTTGTTTGAGGCTGCCATGCAGGCAAGACCTATCGGAATAAAAACTATGCCCACCAACGCAATTGCAGCAATCGCCTGATCACCCGCAAACACAAGTTACAGATGGTCATCACATACTGAATTACTAAACCATATCTGTGCTGTGATAGAACAAAAAAGTAATGAAATCTATACGAATAAGAAATTGAACTCACAGTCGGAGGTTTAAGTATACATTGGCATGCTGGAAGCTGCTGCTGAGTAAATGGATGGTCTTAACATCAACAGAAAAGATAGCAGTAAGTACTTTTCAAAATGTATACCACAAAGTTAAGGCAACACCAAAGTATCCCATTGAATAGATTACTTTATGCTAGCTTTGTGAATCACACTCCTCTAATTTGGAAAATAGGAAAGATATATTTTTTAAATTTAATCTGCAGCACATCAAGTCATATATTTAATATTATTGATAATCTATAACAGAACAAGGTATGCTTCTACAGTCTGTTAAGCAGAGAATGGGAGCGAACATTCCAGTCCATTAAAAAAGTTGGTGAGCCTAGCAGCATTGAGCTAAGATGTTCTCCCAAATTCTGCAAGCCTTTGCAAACAGAAAAATTGCAAAAGCTATAAAAGAGATCATTCATATACAATGCTACTAGAATCAAGTAACTGCAGTTGCTGCTGATCAGAAAAATACAAGCTGGAGAAAGAAATACAAAATTTTGCTTCTTTATTTGAGGAGAAATTACACCGAGGCTTGTTGCGCTTATCCGTGGTGGCTGCTAGAGCAGCCTGCTGTGAAGAGCTTGATACGGCCGCATCAACATTCATCGGCAGCATAGCTGTCGGTGGTGAAGAAAGCTGTGTCTCGATGAACCAGTCCTACAGACTTGAAGAACTGAACCCACCCCCAAAAACGTTAGACCTAAACAAATGGTTATGTATTAGTTTCAGAAAAGCTTCACAGGACAGGAGAGTTCAAAAGGAGGGAAAGCATCAAGCAGGTTTAGGAGCAGCCAAGCAGAGATGAAGCAAGGAATATATATAAAGGGATAGAGAGACAACCTGTCGTCCTGTCCTTCTGAGCCTTGGGAAACTGGCCTGGTAAGGTAAGGATCAATCTGCATAAAGGGGACTGCTTTGCAAAAAAAATATTTGGGTGTTCTATGTAAATATTTTGTTAAAGAAACATGTTTGAACTTTGAAGAGGGTAGAGAGAGCTCTTTCTATTTCACTCAAGAAGAAAAGAGTTGAAACGGTTTATAAGTAAAACTGGTCCTGAAAATCTAATAACTACACAATTTATTAGAGAGAAACCGACGACAAGCCAGAGCATAATATCCCGTATGACAAACCTAGAGCATCCTGCTAGTACATACATACAGTCTGTTCGCTTGTTGGTTTCAGCCAGGGCTTATCAGCCAACCAACAATGTTTTCCTCTCACAACAAACCAGCACCAGCCGGACTTATCAGCCCAGAAAACAACCAGCGAACATGCTCATAGTGGCAACCTAAAAATGATGGAGCCGGCCGTGTGCATCCGCAAGGCAACCTAACAACCTAGAATATCTGAATTTCTCTGAGCAGCCAACATTTCTGAATGTTGGACAGACAACAGCACACATGCACGTTATTATGGTCTCTGTTAAAGGCAGAGCTCCCGCCATTATTTCAAAAAAATATATATATGGTCTCTATTTGGAATAAGCAGTACATAGCTGTTACTAACACCAATAATCCATCTAGTTGGTAGTCCGTTCCACACACAGTATGAGTGTATGTCAGGAAGTAGGAAACAAGTTGTTACATATACTCCTAGTCCTAGCTATTACATAGCCATGACTCAGGCTGGAGCTTCATCATGAGAAGAGAATGACTGCACAACATAAACCGGATCGCCAACCTTGATGGCCTTTCCTTTGCCTTCAGCTGACAGGGACTCTTTGCAGACAAGATTTTGCCCAAAGTACACCTACAAAAATCGATAAAGTGATATGGTGGCTGGGTGAGTCTTCAGTGAGTTTGGCTGTTATGAACCTTACTACTTATAGTACGGAACATCTTGAAGTAGGAAGGCCGCTGAGAAGAAAGACACTTTGCAAGTTACCTGCCGTTTATTTTTGTGGCTTGGACGCAGCACTTCACCAGACCGAAATGTGCGTAGAGTTTCATTTGGTTCAGTGCCAGGGATTGCCTTTTCTTGATCAATGTTAGGAATCTGAAACAACCGGTGCAGGAGCTGAGAAATGGGATCTCATACGTTGTTGCTTTCAAAGTAAAGGGTGCACACTTTATAACGTTGATCGGCGGACTAGGAAAGTAAATAGAGATCTATCGCGTCCTATCGCCTCTCACCGCCTCCGCAAAATAGCCATTTTTGTTGATTTTATTCATCGAAGGGCAATATCGTCATTGCGCACGGCCCTCTCACTCCCCACCGGCCCACCCCCCGCCCCCGCCCTCGCCCCAGGACCCCACACCGAACTCGCCAGTCTCCCCCAATCGCACGCACCTCGCTCGCGGGGATTTTTAACCTTTTGCCATCCTTACGGATGACACTCCTTCGTTTCCCACTTTTATACGTGCTCCTACATAATTGACATCGCAAACAGTGAACCTCCTACGTTTTTATCATTTTTGCTGACATGGCACGCCAGGTGGGCACGCCAGCATGGCAGTGAGCCTGAAAAGGCCTACAGAGCATGTGAAATGACTTATTTACCCCTGTTGCTTCTCTCCCTCTACTCGTTGACGTGTGGGCCCCACACGTTAGCTTTGTCTTCAACCTCCAGCCATCACCCGAAGCTGAGCGGCTCAACGGTGAGCGGTCTCTGGCGGTGGAGGGAGGAGGAGCGGCGCGCTGGCACCTAGGCCGTGCTGCTACAGAGCTGCTGCCTCATAAAAGCTCCCTGCGCTTGCTCCTGTTTGCAGCTTCCACGGAGGCGGGGTAGAAGACTGGAGCTTGCACGGAGCTGCGGCCATGACTGGAGCTCCATCGTCACCATCGATCTACCCCATCCAGCCGTCTCTGCTACTCCCAACAGGCTCTGCGAGTTCGCAGTGGCATGACGACTTCACCCCGCTACTCGTCTTTTGGCAACCCCCGCTGATGAGGACATGACCTCCATACATATGACCATGCTTGGAGAACCATATGGAGACCAAGGAGATCAGCGAGGGTGTCCTAAGCGAGAAGGAGGCCCGAAGCTCATCCGGTTCGAGTCACCAAGGTGGAGGCCCAAATCAAGTTCGAGTCCATCTCGGTCTCCAGGACCAGTCTACCTTAAACTGGTCACCCAGGACGCATCCGGACTCCGTTTTCGATGATCCATATATGGATGGAAAGCTAATTTGATAAGGAAGGCAATCTAAGTGGTCTCACATCAAAAGCTCTTCGGAATCAATGAGAATCATCGAAACAAGTCAGCGTCCAGAATCTATTAGGGTGCTGCGACACCATATTTTGGTCCATTGGACCGTGTATCGTGTTTTGGCCCATTAGGGGGTGCGTCCAGGGGGGTGACGCCCAAGACACTATAAATAGCAGCCATCGCTCTCCTTAGGGTTCGGTTTTTGTTTAGTTCTTGATTTCCTCGTGAAATAGACATCGTTTTGCTGCAACTGTGCCGCCAAGGCTGTTTGCTGTGAACCAGGGCCCCAGTTCTTGATCTTGTTCGCCTGTGGCGATTAGTCCTTTCGAATAAAGACTTGAACTCCTTCTCGTTATCATAAGCCTCATAGTTATTTGCAATTTCAGATTGCGTTCATCCCGTTCTTGCTTGTGTTCTCGATTCGCTTGCAGGAAAGCCTTCTGGGCGAGGTCAATCGCGTTCGCGTGGTTGATAACCAACGGAGCAGTGGTGTAATGGTTGCGGGGGTCCAAATCAGTCTTGGTTCGAAGCCTAGATCGTGAACGTCGAGTCTCCACCAATCGACGCTATCATACATTTCGGAAGATCGGGCCTAGTCTACATCACCCGTCCCATCGCCGTGAACCACCGCCGTCGCCGCCATTGTCGTCCAGAGGTCGAGCTCACCGATCTCTGCATACACAGCAGCTCTCGCCTCCCCATCTCCTTCGTTGGCGCTGCAAGGACCCACCGCGGCCATCTATCCACATCTCAGCGTCAATCCATGGCCACAATGGCGTCTTTCACCTCAACCGAAGCACTCTGCCAGAGAGCCTCACTTCTACCCGTCTTGGCTGCCACCAGCCCCTCTTTGCCACAAGAACTCCATCGACTTCACGCGCGGTGCCTTGCTCGTCATCCTCGGCTGCTCGGCAGCCATGGAGGGATGACGAAGCTGGAGGTGCCTGGCTCCCATCTAGGTGCTGGAGGTGTGAGATGAAGCTAGAGGTGCCTGGCTCCCATCCATTGCTGGAGGTTGAAGACAAAGCTAACGTGTGGGGCCCACGCGTCAGTGAGTATAGGGAGAGAAGCAACAGGGGTAAATAGGTCATTTTGCATGCTCTGTAGGCCATCTTAGGCTCACTGCCACGCTGGCGTGCCATGTCAGCAAAAATGACAAAAACGATAGGAGGTTCACTATTTGCGATGACAATTGTGTAGGAGCGCGTATAAAAGTGGCAAACGAATGAGTGTCGGCAAAAAGTTAAAAATCCCTGGCTCACGTGCTTGCCCTAGCCACCGCCGCCCTACTCTCTCCCTCGCTGTAGCCGCCACCCCCGCCCCCGCACAGCGTCGCGCAGGCGGCCTTGCCCTCTCACTCGCTCATCGCGGCGGTCGCTGTGCCCTCGGCCCCGCTGCCAGACGCCGACGCCCTGCCCCCATGACACCGCCCTCCGTGCTGGCGCCCCTTAGCAGGAAGCACCACTGTCTGCCGCTGCTGCAGGCGTTGTCGGTGCCCACGTCGCCTAGATCTTGCAGCAGGAGGCATCGCTTCTACCATTCAAGCTCCGTGCTGCTCTGCTATTATGTTTCGTTGCATTTTTGTAGCATTGTAGCATTGGATGTTCCTTCACGTGGCACCTGGGTTGCTGAGACTGTGTTGGTCGAACTAGCTGTTCTTCTGTATCTGTATGAGATTAACTAAAAGCCGGTGTCCATCATTTGCAAATTTTGTAGATCAGAAGCATGCATATACATGAGAACCCGTTGCCTTTTTCTCTATCTAGATGCTAACAAAGAAATTGACAAGAAATTCATGTATTCCAAACGTGGCTAGAGTGGGTAGAAACTACCAGAATCTTGTTTACACAATTATATCTTGTGGTAGAATACCACAACGAAATGATCTACAACTCACTGTTATCTAGCTCTATGTTCCAAAATTACCTGCCGGCAGTAGCCCTATCAGGTTAGTATTCAGTTGTACTACAAGATTGGAATGATACATGGCTGAATAGAAAAGGAATTGCTAGCTAGCTATAATAGAGGATCAGAGAGAAGGCACAATAAGCTGCTATCTTATGGCCGGCCCATGACCAACTTCATTTCAGATCACCGATTAGCAAATCTCCTAAGGCCTCCTTTGGATATATGGAACAACAACTTTCACTTTGTCAGGTTTCATATGTTAGCTCACTTTGTCAGGTTTCATATATAGAACAGCAACATTCATTGTGATCCGAACATGTAGTAATATCCAGGGGGCACCTGATATCCTGATGCCACATCCTGCTACAACTGTTGCTAAAGAAGGTTCAAACATGGATGGACATTTAATTTTGGCTAGAAAGATTAGAAGAGTGTCTAGATTTCATATTTGAATCTTGTTCCAATTATTTGATGGGTTTGCTAGATAGTAGATTCTGTTGTTTCAAACCAGTGTTCACTGTGAGCTATAGGGATTGATAGACCACAAGGAAAGCCTCATGGTTAAATTGTTATAATGCGTGATTTTGGTAACCATAGTTGGTGAACTCACCATGCGTGCGGTCACCTCGTGCCGCCATCTTTGGGTCAGTCAAACCCTTTGGGCATGTCCAAGGTCGTCAACCCACGTGAGCAGCCACCCCCCACGCCGCCTCGCCATTGCCGCCATTGGTGTTTGCACGGCCATTGTGTCTTCTTGCCGTCGCCTCACCATCGCATCAGCACTCCCTACGGCTCTCACACACCGTCCGCCTACTGTCGTTAGCCTGCCGTTGTTGTCAAGCAATGCTTGGCGTATCCACGGCATCGGCACATGGTCGTACCTACTATCACCTCGCCCATAAAGGCGTGGCAGTCACTCGTGCCATGTCGGTCACGGAGGCGCGCACGCCTTGTCCATAGCGCCTGCACGTGTCCGTCCTGATCGCGCCACTCGCATCCTACCAAGGCGAGGACGAGCTGAAGCTCTGACCTACCCCCTCCCCTCTCTCTTCGCTGCTGCCATGGTGGACTGAGCCACGCCATTAAAACAAGCAGGGAGAAGTCACCATCGCTCGATTTGTCGCGTCACTGGCTCCGTCACCCAGCTGCCTAGCTACCCGCCCCCACCCTACCTTGAATGGTGCCCGATCGAGATTCAATTTTGGAGCTTTTCCCCACCACCATGCCGATAAGGCCGAGTCCGCCCATCACCGAGGGCAGCTTCCATCTGACCACCTCGGGCCAAATTGGCTGTACCGCTAGACTCGTCTCGAACCCCTCCTCGCCATGCACACCTAAACCGTACCCCTACCATTGTTTCAACGCTATTGACGCGGCTGTGTCCGCCGTGGCTCGTCACCGAGCTCACCGCGTGTAAGCGGCTAGCCTTGCTTGGGTCATCTCTTGCCGAACCATTGCCTTGGCCAGGTCCTTGGTGAGTCGCTGATGCTCACCCGCTACCTCTACTGCTCCCTTAGCGTCATGGCTCACCAGAACGTTGTTGTCACCACCGCAGGTTGCCCGCCGATGTGGAGAAGTCGCCCTACTTTGTCTCCGATCTCCGAATCGCTGCCCATTGTTGCGCGTTGGCCCGTAGGTGAGCATCGGTCCTCTAGATGGGTCAAGGGAGTCCCGAATTGGCGGGCATAGCGGCCCAGTGCCGGTCAATGCCGCGCTAGTGAGCGTGGAGGCGTCGGGGAACTCCCCAATGTGAAGACGGGTTAATACGAGGGCCTTCTTACATAAACGCTATCTATAGAAATAGTGCGCATAGTCATCGTGTTAATAGAGGATAGCGCGGGGGTGTTTCTGCAAAAGCGCCAGCGCGCGCGGGCTTCTCCACTGTGGGCCGGCCTCGCGTGGGCCGCGAAAGTGGGTCGCTGTGTGCGCGCGAGCCGTGTCACGTGGGTCGCGCGGGAGATTGGTTTTTCTTTTTCTTGGAATATGTGAATGGTTTTCTAATTTAATTTCTGAACTGATCTTTGGTAATTAATATAAAATTATGTAGGTGTCCAAAAATTGTGAAACAAATTTTGTTAAGTTTCTAAAATTGTGATCTATCTATTAGCGTATTTAGTTTATATATATACATGTTGATACTAGGAGCTATTAAATCGTTTAAAAGTGCTTCATATTATTAAAATGAATCATTGTAGGAATTTTCATGGTAAATTGGTGATAGGTTTAGTCCTAAAATTTTTGTGGTAGCATCATTGTATTATTATGTGCTCACTGTAAATTTTACAGCTTTAGAATGGACTAAGCATTAGGGTAGTTAAATGCTCTTTGTTTCAATATACATTAAATCATTAGTAGAAATAAAGATATATCCTTCATTTGTAAAGCTAGGTGTTTGTTAGTTGAACTCAACACTTTGCTTGGTAAAGATGATAGTTAGCTTAGTACCTTAGTAGCTTGGTATGCGTATTCTTAGTTTAAGAGTTGTTGTTGCCTAAATGCTGAGTGTTGCATCATCATCGTATGCATGTAGAGAACTAAAAGGTCCTAATGGCTAGAGGGGGGTTGAATAGCCTATAAAAATTTCTACAACAACACTTAGCAAATCGGTTAGACAAATATGAGGCGAAGCGAGTGTTGTGCTAGCCTACTAAAAATGCAAGCCACCTACCACAATTCTAGTCTATATAGTCTCTATCCACACAATGGCTATGTCACTACACTAAGTTAGTGTGCTCTCAAAGGCTAACTAAAGAGCCACACTAACCAAACTAATAAGCTCTCACGACTAGCTACACTAAAGAGCTTGACAACTAGTTTGTGGTAATGTAAAGAGAGAGCAAGATGGTTATACCGCAGAGTCAAGGAATGAACCAATCAATCACAACAATGAATATCAATGAAGATCAATCACCTTGGAATCAAATGATGACACAATGATTTTTTACCGAGGTTTACTTGCTCGCCGGCAAGCTAGTCCTCATTGTGGCGATTCACTCACTTGGAGGTTCACGTGCTAATTGGCATCACACGCCAAACCCTCAATAGGGTGTCGCACAACCAACACAAGATGAGGATCACACAAGCCACGAGCAATTTACTAGAGTACCTTTTGGCTCTCTGCTAGGGAAAGGTCAAGAACACCTCACAATCACCACGATCAGAGCCGAAGACAATTACCAACCTCCGCTCGATGATCCTCGCTGCTCCAAGCCATCTAGGTGGCGGCAACCACCCAGAGTAACAAGAGAATCCCACTGCGAAACATGAACACCAAGTGCCTCTAGATGCAAACACTAAAGCAATGCACTTGGATTCACCCACAATCTCACAATGATGATGAATCTATGATGGAGATGAGTGGGAGGGCTTTGACTAAGCTCACAAGGTTGCTATGTCAATGCAAATGGCCAAGAGAGTGAGCTAGAGCCAGCAATGGGGCTTAAATAGAGAGACCCCATGAATAGAGCCGTTGACTCTCTATACCCTGAAAAGTCGGGGCGACCGGACGCGCCGGTTAGATCAACCAGACATAGGACCCCAGCGTCTGGTCGTGGGAAGCATGCCATGTGGCCCCTGCTTCAAATGTTGATCGCCCGATCTCAATGGTCATCAGTGCACTTAAGTTGTAATCGGATGCTCTACAGTGTAGGACCGGACATAGGACCCCAGCGTCCGGTCACTTCCAGTAAGGTTCTAGTCGTGATCGAACGCGTCAGTTCAATCACGACCGGATGCAGGAATGGCAGCGTCTAGTCGAGTCTAGAGAGCTCCCAGAGCTACTCAACTATGACTAG